ATTTATTATTATTATTATAACTTTACACATTATGATGCTAATTAGATATCTCTGAAGAAGTAAGTATAATTTAATAAATTTTAAAACTAAAACATAGCCAACAAGTAGCTGTCATTGTTACGAAATAGTTTCAATTGAATTTAAATAAATTTATTGACAATGTATACTTATGTGCAGGTAACTATTTTTGGAAAGTCTTCCATCATTAACATTAAAAATAAATAAATGTTCATTCCAATGGTTCCAAATTCTTAAAACAATCATTAGTTTCGTTCGGGAACTGTCTCCCCACAAGATAAATAAACTGTGACGAGTTTGTTTATTTTTGTATAAGAGATTGAAACGATTCATAGAAACGGTGGGTATAATCGTTCTATAAATAATGCTAGAAATAATATTGGAGAACTTGGGTCTACCTTGCAAGGATGTATGTATCCTTGCAATTAGAAAAAGAAATCAAAATCCATTTAATTTTTTAAATAACTCCAATTTTAAATATAAAAGACATTATCCCAAAGAAACTCAATAGAGCTAACGTCATTTCTAGAGGCTATTGGAGAAATAAACTAAAACTACTTAATCGTGAAAAGGATTCAAAAACTGTTCTTTACAATGTAGGAATATGCACAACAGCAGACGTGAGAGGTTCGTTTCCGCCAAACGGATAAGTAGGCAGCTATAACCTGTAATCGAAACCGGTTTAGTCAATGTGGACTTACGGACTGGGGAGAGGGCATACGCGATATCAAAGCAGGTGTTCCACTATGAGCCTACTGGCTCAATGAGAATACCAAACCTTAATAGTACCAACGAATGATTTGCAAGCGCCACATCAGAAATCTATAATCTGATATTGAAAAGATCATTATCATACAGAAAGGATGAAGTTTCGAACTTTCCGAAAGTTAGCAAAAGTCGCTATAGCCGATGATTCCCCCATCAGAAACCAGTACAGAGACAGTTTGAAGATGAGTTTGGGGTGGCGTGTTTATAACGCGTGTTTAATAATTTAGTAGCGACGGCGGCGATCCCTTACCGGCCCGGTACTGAATAATGGATGCAACAATAATATGAGTAGTATTCCTCGAGACGGTAACCGTTTATTCAATATACGAAATTCCACTACTGCTTACTTAAAGATCAACACAAATGTTACGAATGACGATATATACAAAAAAACTTGAGATATAGGGCATTTTTAGTAATGCCATTGATTAACTCATTAATCCTCTTATTTCTACGGTTATCTCTAAATTGTTTTATTTGAAGAGCGACCAATAAATACAAGGCTTTAGGAAATGAACATGGGAACCTACACCTGTGGTACTCTGCATTTTAGAATAGCTTCTGGCTTAGAGTATGAATGTATTCATTGGTTAGACAGACAATATATACAGACTAAATAGTTTCTTCATTTGGAACGAGCTTTATCTCTTATAGCTCGATGATTTTGTTAATTCTTTTGTTCTACTACTTTTATTTGTGATATCGAGAATAATTTTTTTCTTCTATGCAAATTAGTAGTTTGCACTGCAATGGCAAACGAGCACTTTTTTGATTTCGAATTTTGATATACATATAAATAAACAACTTGTTTTGACATAAATCTAAATTCAATAGGTCTGACTTGAGAGTAATAATGTTTAATATATGTATAAAAGAAAGACAAAGCTATTTTGATATAATGGCAACAATTTAAATTAGAAATTTTAAGGATGATCCATGGCTATCAGATTTTGAAGAGGTTCGATGGACCTCGAAACTCAGATTTTTGTACCTCGTTTTTTCATAAAATTATTAATTCACATGATTAAGTATTAAAAAATAGAGTGGTTTATGATTGGTTATTACTGAACCTTTTATTTCCTGCGACCATCCAATAGAGTCAATTATTTTTGATTCTAGTCATAATAATAATATATGATATAGCAGTAATCCACGAATAATACATTCACTTAGAGGCACTTAGCCCATGAAGGAGAGTCCCAGAATTGTTGTAAATTTGGATTTAGAAATAAAATAAAGCTACAATTTTAATAATTTTGTAATAAAATAACAATGATATAAATAATAATTAAAATAAAAATGTTTCCTTTACAATATAGTTTTATAGTACAAGGAATTCACGTTATTTAAATTATCAATAATTCAGATAATTAAGCAAATGATATTTAAAACTACTACTACTACTACCACCTGTGTAAGGGGAATTATATGCAGGTCAGGGTGAATTAATAATCCCTATTATTAGAGACTTATTAGGTTTTATTAAAATACAATCGACAACTTATTAAATATTCACAAATTGATTTATTACGGGTGATGGTTGTTTTGATGCAATTGGTTATAAAATATGTCAATCAGTTAATCAGATATGTTTTAATTTTTATTTCTAAAAACAATAATATTAAAAGGTAATATAATAATATGGAAATATAGTCAATTTGTAGCAGTTTATTTGTATATTGAAATCTTAATGTTATTATCCTTAATAAAAGACAGCTTCTACTTTTAATGAAAGTGATCCTAATCTTGTCTAACATAATTTCGAACACAATATCGTATATTTGCATGAGGGTGCAGCAGAATGCGTTTAATTTGTTAATAAATCAGGCTGTAGGGAGGTCCGGGTTCATTAGAGAGATCACCCCGGGGCTTCCGGGGTGTCGTGCCCACTCCATCCGACGTCCTTCGGTAGCTGATGCATTTCATTTAGCGAGGATCTTGAATGACGGATGTTCTATCAATTTGCTTTATTACTGACTAATATTAACTATGAGAAATTTATTATAAGGTGATTTGTGCTATTTTTTAAATCCTGAAAATGACATTAAATAAGTAATATGTTTGTTTTAATCAATAGTTGTTTCATCTATTACGTTTGTTCTATCTAATTAACAGTCCTTTCATATATTAAAAGCTTTTTATTTGTCAGCTTTATCAACAGTTGATTAAAAAATAGGTAATTCATCATTTTCGGAATTTTGCTGCTTTATGTATTACCCCAAAATACTATATTGATGGAAGTTTTCCCTTTAATAGCATTTTAACTTATAGGTTTATTTTATAGGTAGAATGTATCAAAAATATAGAGTAACTGACTCAACTAGAACGATAGAATTCATTTTCACTAAAATTATTGGTTGATCTTAATGGGAATCTTATTTAAAATAAGTAATTAATTGTCTCTCATAACTTGAGCTTATCGCCTGCATAAATTAAGGTAGGTATTCGCGCGGCGCCTCAGCGGCCACGCACGCAGTCAAACTTTTAATTGCATTGAGCTCTATTAGTGTCGTCAACAGCGGCTTGTGAACGAGAATATGCTCTACTATAAACAATTTTAATTTAATTTTGACAGTAGAGAAATTAAAACTAAAAATTTCATAAATTTAATTAAAAAATAAGTATATCCCCAAAAATGCTTTACAGTTATCTAATCTTCTTGATTATTAAATCCTTCAGAAGGGCCTTATAATCCAAACTAAACAATCCCTAAACCCAGGAGTATTACAGTCCCGAAAAAAATATTTGCCGAGCCGAAAGCCGGGGCAAAACGAATGAATTAATTAGAATTTTTAAATTAAAATTGTCACCGTGTATCCGCCGTCTGGCCGGCATAAACATAATACAATAGAGACCAGGACCGGACGAGAGGACTCATTAATTTAGATGATTGTACAATTATCTAAATATAAGCGGAGCGAGACACCCACCGCGGGAGGGGGTAACAACCCGAAAAGGGGGGAGGGGAGCGGGCACTCGTTTTTAATTAAACCGGCGATGAAATGAAGTGGTCCGTATAATATTGCTTAGACATGTTTTAAATTAATTTCAACCCGTCTTATTACGAATGATTTGGTCTAATTAACCATTAAAAGAGAGCGAAGTTTAAAAGATTCTCCTTATACATCCTCAGATTCATATGTCATTGATACTGTTATTACTCCGTTTAGGCGTTTGAGCTTGATACGGTAAACATATGTAAATATAACATTAAGAATGGGCAGCATGAGAAAATCTGAAACAATAAGAAGGGTACCTAATCTATATCGGTAATCTGAATTTTATTGATTACTATTTTTTTCTCTTCATATATGCATTTGTTTCTAATATCTTATTTGTTTATATTGTTTATCCTTAGTGTTATTGGTCTAAGAATGCTCATACATAACAATAAATAATTGAAGCAGCTATAAATTGGCTTTAGATTCGCCATCATAATTATTCCGAACCCCAATGTGACGGAAAACCAGTGCGCGCAAGGGTTGTACGGCTCTCGTCTCTTCTGTATTTGTTTTTCGTTAAAGCTTTAATTAAAAGTAGGTTTATTTTAAAGAAAATTGATGTTCAAAGTAAATAAAACCTTGATGGTTTTAATTATCTCTTAGTAATTGAGTTTCACCTGATAATGTAATAATTGGCGCTGCGTATTCACGTTGTTATAAGATTTGATTAAAAACTTTTATGATTAATCATTATATTTTTGAGTTGATTGTTAGTCGGTTTAATTAAGCCGACACGAAAATTGGATTATTATTTTGGATGTTTTTGTTGGCTCATCATTGTTAATTACTTCATATCATTATGTTTATCTTGTTATAGAAAAATATTTTCAAACTTATCCTCTAATTTGTTAAACTCCATTATCTATAGTAGGTTTCTTTCACAATGTGTAAATGAATACAAAAGTTTGAGTCAACACCAAACCAACTAATTACTAACTCAAGGATTTTGTTCCGAAATATTAGGTAGGTATCCTGCTGTTTGTTTTATAAATAAATAAAAGCATTTTGATGCAACACGTGGTTATTTATTGTTAACTCTTCATTGACATCCACATGATCATTTGAAAATATAAATTGCCATGAACTGTTTTTGTTTTACAAACATGCCACAACTTTGTTAATGATCATGTTTACAAACATTACACTCAGAAACTAAGTACCAACTTAAACTATTTCTTGTCTGTGCGTCACACAAATCTTCCTAATAGTTACCTAAAGGCTTTGTCCTTTGGGGTCTGTTAACCGCGCGTCCAGGCTTGGAGCCTCTCTGGGACCGTCGGTCTCCGGACCGGCACGATGCACCAAACAAAAAACTCAACAATAACAAAAAAAACACAACCAACGTATAAACTCAATAAACGACACTGCCGAGCGCTGTCTCTTAACCTTTTACTTCGGCAGGATAAAAGACTGGATACATAAAACTTCGTAGCAAAACTTTATAACAAAAACTGTGTTAAGAACTTCGAAAAAAGTAGTAACGTTTGCGGGGACCGGCGACACTTCCCCTTACGATGTTTCGTTTGCAACTGAGCCACGCGGTCGCGCGCGGGGCCCGCGGGGGGCGGGGTGTGAGCGGAGCGCCTGCCCCGCACCTCAGGAGTATTATTTGATTAATTCGCCTCCCCTTGTATACTCGCCGAGTCGTTACGACGACATTAAGTTTTTAAATTTCAGTGAGAGGGCCACAACCTTCACCTACTCCTTAATACTTTTAATTGAATTAATTAAGATCGACGGCCGGCAACAAAGATTAGACGTTAATAAGCGAACGCTGAAGGATCCGTCCCGTTGTTGGTTAATTACGGCTCAGCGGTTGCGGTGTGCTCGCAGGAAAAAATCCCGCACGGAAATAATGAATATTACCTTCAGAGAAACTTTAGTGTTGCTAATTGAAGTGTATTTGCATAATCAAATAAAAAAAAAGACATAATGAACTATTATGATAGAGTCACTATTAATAAACGATACGAAATTCAGAATATTGAACTAGAACAAATAATATTTTAAAAATAAAATTCACTGAACTCTCCACATGTATTTATGGATTTCAATAAGATTCTATTTAACCGTTCGGTTCTTTGGTATTAATTGAGTATTTTATCTTATTTTCGAATTTGTTCTTCAATATTAAAATCCTCATGATTTAAATCTGTAAAGGAAACTCATTAAATGCAAGGTGTAGGGAACACGAAAGAGGTCGAGCCAAATTCGGGTTAATTTAACATAATCCGCTGATATTACAGGGTTACTTTAGCCCGGTCGATCGATCAAATGCGCGCGCGCAGGTGGCCACAGATTGCTCATTATTACACAAACTTGTGCCAGTTTTAAAAATATTCATTTTAAGATTAAAGATTATTAAGTTATACTCTCAAACAAAATATTAATTGATTAATCCCCCAAAAACCTTAATATAATTTCAGTACATGGTCTAATTTGATCATAGTTATTATACCTACCTCAAAGTGACCGTTGAAGAGAATGATTCATCGGATCATCGTTCTTGCAGTTAGTTTATGCTAATAATTTGATTGCAAAGGGTTAGTTGCACCAACTTATTTTTTCAATAAGAATGGATAAAGTTAATTATAAAATTTAAAATAATTTAAAGGAAACTTTTTAAAGGAAACCGAATACCTATAGGTAATGCAAATTTGTCATGGTAGCTGACCTGAGACCATTAAAATTATTATTGATTCCTTAAATATCAATGCGGTCAGATTAACACTCTCTAGTCCCAGTGTTAGATAAGCCACGTAGCAAAATAGCAAATGCTACGGGCCCAAACTTTCAAATAGTCTGACAAACAAATTAATTTTTCGTCAAAAAATGCAAGAAATAAAATAAGTTACGATTCTGACTAAAGTCATATTTTTAATTATAAGTATAAATTGATAAGTCACAGATTTGTGTTATTCGGAAAGCAAAAGACGACTTTTCTGTTTCGTTTGCAAAGTTGCACATTGTAAGTTAAATTAAGTCTGACCAGTTGTATTGGCGGTTACTTTTATAATGAAATGTTACGAATCAAGAAAAGTGTGTTTTAAGAATTTTATTTTATTTCAATTACCTATACCTACCTCAAGGGCCCCTCAAAAAATTTGCAACAGACCCCGCTCTGGCTTAACCCGGCACTGTCTAGTCCAAAACAATCTCAAGTCTAAGGTACTAGCTGTAAGGTCCCGGGACTACATTCGCGTATATTATAATCTATACTATGTCATCCGCATATAATGTATTTTCCCGCAGGTAAAACAGTTTTTTAAATGTCAGTTAATCCATTAGACAATTAGTCACCATTGCCTTTTATTACTTTACCCGTTTATTTTCTTTCACCCGTTTATTTTATTAGCCAAAATACGTCCTGGATAGTTGGTAGTTAATAAATGTTGTACGATTCAAAAATTCATTAAAATTAAAAATCATAAAGATTCTATCTATGTATGTAAAACTAGAAGGTAGTTATTAGAAACGTTACATATTTCATAATTTTAATAAGCTTTTAAAAAAGTTAAGTATATGCCTTCTCGAAAATAACGCAATCAACAATTAAAATAGAAAGAGTGCGGCGAACCCGTTATAAAAACTCATTTAATCATCGGCATTTCTCGTGGTACCGGGATATTATTTGTTCCGAGCAGACAGAGCCGCTTCGAAATTAATCTTTGTTTAAAGTTAATGGAGCTTATTAATCACGGGCATTATGTCTAGATGGATATAATGTGGTAATCGGTAACTCAGGAGATATCGGGCCTTCTATTACGAAAACAAATGCACCGTTACACAATCTATAGAATTTCATTAGGCCAGATTAATCTAACCCTTAAATGAAGGTCGTAAGATTGGTTATGTTAACGTCATAGATTGTAACGACAGGTGAATGTCGGTTATTATGTATTATGCTTTTTAATTGGATGTATGCCGTGTTATTAGTTTGGAAGTTCAAACTGAGGTGCCGAGTTTTCCGTAGGTAATTAACGATTTAAGAGGTGGTAATGCGAGAAGATTGAATTGGTTTGGATGATTATAATATTATTGTATTTAGTACAATTATCACAGGTTAATTCATTCTCATAATACATAAACTCCATAAAGGTGAGAAATAATTAAAAACCTACCATACATATTTTGTTAGAATACAGAACAAATAACAAGAAATCATTTTCCCTGACAGCAGCTTAATTTATACAGTCAACTAAATGATGCATTCGGTCTAGGAAATCTTGGTGGTGACGAAACAAGGGTACAATTAAGGTGCTCGAACACTGCACCGGTGGTGCAAGGGCGCAGTCACAATGCTGCAAATGAGACGCGCCGCGCCCGCACCGGTCCGTCCGTCCGCTACGCAAATGAAGAATATTGTCGCACCAAGTGAATGCCCCCTAATGATGCACCGGCCGCCTCCGTTAGAGGTCTCCCATATGGTATTTGCTTGCGATTGTCAGATGTTTAATGATTCGAAATTTTGTAACTGTGTGTGTCTTTTAAAACATCTTTTAATAGTGGGGTTTTAACGGATATGAAAACCTTTGTGCGTTAAGAGCTTACCGTATAATTCCAAACAATATGACATAATTGCAAATTAAAAATTCTCATTGAATTATGTAGATACATTTTGGTATAAAATTATCATCAGAAAATGATATATGATACAATACATATTAATTCAAATTTCAGTATTAAATTTGATTAAATATTAAGTTTATTCATCATCATTATTTTTACCTTTTTACGTCCCCACTGCAGGGGCTCAGGCCTTCCGTATGGATGGTTAAGGTGGTTATGGGCCATGACCCTCCACGCTGGCCCAATGCGGATTGGACTGTATTAACGACTGCAAATGCAGCCTGGACCAACGGCTTAACGTGCTTTCCGAAGCATGGAGTAGCTCGAGATAATAATTTTTTGGTCACCCATCCCGTGACTGACCCCTACGAAAATTGCTTAACGACAACGACCGCGGGCCGCGGCGCTTATCCACTACGCCACCAAGCTACTTATGTTTATTATTTTATTTATCTTCATAATTTGATAAACATTAGGATATACTTCACCGAGTTGATCTAAACATCATTATTCATCTTAATAATGACAGTGTCGGTGGTAAAGCGGTACGAGTCAGACATTTATTACTATACACAATTATGAGAGCACTAAATGTCAAAGACGGTGATATCTGCCAACCAGTTTGCCGCAAATGTACTAACAATAACTGAAGATCATTGTAAGATGGCTTTCGTCGATATTATTGAGGCTTTTTGAAATGTAGATGGGAGTTTTTGAAATAAGTTTCGATAGATGTAAGTGACGATACATTTCATATTTATTGTTTTGGGGATTAACTAAGATGTAACGTGAAAGGCATTTTTTAAACTTTTGTTATAAAAACAAAACTTATTCTCAATATTAGAATGTAAAATCAGCATTGAACACCAATAATGAAAATAATATTATTTTGGTGTAATGGTAGAGTCAACTGCCCTCAAAAGTTCTCTATTGCTTGCGCGTGCTTTATTTATAAATTTGATCTTTATATATTCAAAATGTTAATTATCAGTATCAGTGTCCACCTGGCTTTAAAATAAATGAAGAATGGGAAAATTAAAACTCAATCTAATATTTTTAAACCTTACAAGTTAGTGCATTTTGCACATGCTCTAAAATTCGAAATTCAAATAATTGCGAAAGCACCAAAAAGTATTTATTATAAATACACTTATAAATAAAAGCTCAGGCTTGTCACCATTCAAACTGGCCATTACATTACGACTCTTTCAACATCCATTCAAAAGTTCAGCTTTTGACCCGGACGTCTGACTTACAGCCAGGCAATTCACAAAGAGGCGATGACATACACACACAAATAAAATTTTGTACTCGCGACGATGACTTTGCAATCGCTAACATTTGTATCACAATATTTTTTGATTCCTATTCATTTATCGTCGTAAATGCGTTATTAAAATCATTACATCGACTCTTAGCTCGATCTCGTCATTTGAACTGAAAGACGTATTTAAGTTGATATATTTTTTTTATATAATCATTTTTTTCTGAATATGTGGTAACATTGATTAAAAATAAGATTTATTTAATGACTAGCTTTCGCCAGTGGCTTCGCCCGCGTGGTCCATAGGGAAATGTTTAGTGGGATAAAAGTAACCTATTATCTAAGTCAGCTAATACCCTATCTGTATACCAAATTTCATCAAAATCCGTTCAGTAGTTTCGGCGTGATTGACGGACAAACATCCAAACAAAGAAATTTTCACATTTATATATTCTCTAGAATCTTATATATTCTTTATCCATTCTCTAGAAGGTCACAACCCTGAAAATGCTGTTTTCTATTAACTAACTTTTACAATCATTGTCATCACCATTGTCCTGTTTTTTTCTTTATATTACATATATAGCAGCAATAATTTCACATTGTAAATGAACTCTATAATTGCTGACTTATGGGAATGATTTGATCCCCTCTTAATTGACCCCCGCAGCTGTCGGTAAAGATGGATGTAGGGGACC